GTTCATCTGCATTTGTCAAGGATATTTTCACTGAATATAGAATTCGGGGTTGACAGACCTTTTTTTTTAGGATCTGAAAAATGACCTTTCTGGCTCCCACAATTGTTGATGAAAGAAATTATCATTTGAAGCATTTTCCACATAGGTAGTGGATCATTTCAATCAGATTGCTTTTAGGAGATTTTCCTTTGGCTTCGGTGTACAGCTGTGGCAGGGCATGGATTTAGGTTTATCCAGTTCTCTGAGATTTTTCAAATCTGTGCTTTGTATCTTTTATTAGATTCTAGTTTTCAGCCATTATTTTTACTTTTTTTTTCATCGCCTCTCATTTTGGACTCTGATGACATGAATATTAGATGTTGTGGTATTATTCTATGGTATCCTGAGAACTTGTTCGTTATTTAATCATTTTTTCTGTTGATGTTGAACATTTACTCTTGATTTATCTTCAGATCTACTAATTTCTCCTTCCATAACAGATTAACCTCTCTGGTTGCCAGTCTTGATCCTGGGCTGTGGGCTCTGTTGTAGTTCGGTTCTCAGAATGTTTGATAAATTGTTGAAGGTTAAATCCATATATGCACAGCCCAGAAGTGAGCCCAGAGCACATGCACAGCTTCATGGATCCATCTTGTGTGATCCATTTCATCTTCTGTGTTACCTCTCTAATCTTTCTGGCTTCCCAGAGTCTTCTTCCCAGTCTTCTGTCGAAAAGAATCGAAATTTTCATTTTTCCTCTCTGCCCTGCAATTCCTACAGTTGCACCTGTGTCCTGGGCAGGTGGCAAGAAGGCAAAGACAAAAGCAAGTGATTTGCTGCATATTCTGGGGACCACAGCTCCTCTGGTAAGGGATACTTCCCCCAATGCAGGGTTTGGGGAGCCTTCCTGTCTGTTGCTGCCACCGGCACACCACTGGCAGATTGCTCGAAGACCTGATGTAGCAGTGCTACATCAAATTCCTGTCCTCTTCCCCATTCTGTCTGGTGCTGCTTACTTTAGATAGACCTTAAGAGTGCTGCCCCACACGTTCTGTCCAGAATTCACATTGTCTTCCTGGGGACACAGGGTGGGGTGTGCTGTGTCTTACCCTGAACCTTGGAAGATTCCTGAAAAGGTTGTTCCTCTCCTGGCCTGAGGGTCCCCCTCAGGCTGAGACTCACTTTCACAGCACTTACTTGTTTGTTCAATCCTGTTATATAAAAAGGCTGAATTTCTGGATCCAAACCGTTAGAACCAATTGTAGAGAATAGAATCTAATACTTTTTATACTGTTTGCATTACAGTATCAAGTTAGAAGCACTGTTTCCAAAGCTACTGAGGCTAATACCTTCTACCCCTCTTTGTGTGTTTCTGTAAACCATTCATTTGTAATGAACATATACTTTGTAATATGGTTATTTGATAAGACAGTGTTTCCGAGATTTTATTCCACATTTAATTCAGTACCAGAAGTCGAACTCAGGACCTTGCACTTGCCAGGCAGATATGGCACCACTGAGCTATAGCCCCAGTCCTTGGATTTCACATTTTTAAGTAACCCCAAAACACTAGCATACCCTAACATGGTTGTGATTTTTTTTTTTTGGTGACCGCATGCAAAATTGTATTTCAGTTTTCTTTCTTCCACTTACTGCCTCTCATTTTGACCCCACCCAGCAATAACTATTATCTGTTCTCATCACAGGAATAGCGTAATAGCATGTGAACTATATTCTAGGACTTGACTGGTGATTATGTCATGGTATTTGACATAATAATCTTGATAATTTTAAAGGACAAGACTTGAAAAATTCATATGATAACTATTGTGTTTCAGAATTCATATAAAAATATAATACATGTGGCTTGGCATTAGAAACCAACTGGTTACCATGTTAAGTCCCTTGGATTCATGTTATTGAATTGTTCGTGACAAGTCATGATTTCTGGTCTTTAACATTGTTAAGTAATCCCGATAGTGCAGAAAGTGATCAGTTTTTATTTGATATTGCTGTGTTATATGCATCATCTTTAAGCTCATAGCTTTTGAGATTAAGGAATCTTCTGTATTGTGATGGGGTGAACTGGAAAGGCTATTCATTTAGAATAAGGTTCACCTCCGGTTGGATCACTGCCTTTCACTAGAGAACTAAAGCATCCTTGATCGGCCTAGATTAAAATGTTATCAAAGTCCTAAGCTGGAAACACAGCCAGTGAACTGACGCACTCTTTGGCTTTTCTCATCTTCTGTCTTTGCAGCTTGACTTGTAGCATTTGCATTACTATATTGTGGAATCCAGAACTATCACAGAAGCACCAGAATTCAGGGTGGCATGCAACCTTTCCTGTGAGGTGACTGGCTGCAGGTGAAGAAAGGACTCATGTTGTTGGAAAGGCTTAGCATTCATTATGGGTGACAGTAATCCTGGGAGATGGACATCATTGTTCAGAGAGCTACAGTTTTATGGACTATTGATATTTGATTTTTCATTATAGAAATAATCTAAAAGGTAGATCATTGACTCTGAGATAACTAAAATTAGTTAAGACTATCCCTGGAAAGGCCTACAAAGAACAAACTCTTATTAGCTACTGTAGAATGATAAGCGTTTTACTAAGTTGATTATTATTTATATGAGGATCTCAAGAATGAGTACAGATTTGAGATGGGGCAGTTCCTACTAGGGGGAGAGAGTAAAAGTTAATTTGGGAAATGAATCAGACACTCCAAAACTGACCTTGCCCTTTTTTCTCCCCCTAATAAAAGGAAGATATTGTTGCAGTCTTCATTTTAGACAGGTTTGGGGAGGGGGGAGACAGAGAGAGAGAGAGATATGAGGGAATAGTATAGAAAGAAACATAAAACTTACTCTATAAGTCCTTTCTGAAGTGCAAACTTTTGTCAAAGCTTTGAAAGTGTCACAAAACAAAGTTGGATCAGAAAAGAATAAGGACCATCCAGGAGCAAAAATCAGGAATGCTGCAAAACACTAAGACAAGGGACAGAGAAGATGGAAGGTGCTGGTCTGAATGCTCATTTTGGGTCACATTTCCATTCCCAAGCAGTCAGCTGTGATCAGGAACTTGAGACATTTAGTATAAATATTGTGTCTGGGGTGTCCCCTGTGTGGGGAGAGTGTGGTTTAGATCCACAGTGTCCCCAAAGGCCTCATGTGCTCATAGGCAGGGCTTTTGGAAGGTGAGTGACTCAAGGGGGTGGTATTTTTGACTTGCTCTTATCAGGTGGGCCTGGGTAGGAGAGGCAGGTCACTGGGGTGACCTGGAGGGGTAGATCTCCCTTCCCAGCTCCTCCCTGCTCTCTGTTTCCTGCCCACCATGAAGTGAGCAGTGCCTCCACTGTGCTCCTCTGGCATCCTGTTCCTGCCTTGGAGCCAGCCACCATGGGCTGAAATCATCCTCTCCAACTTTAAATTGTGGGTGACAAGTATTGTGTCCCAGCAACAAGAATATGACTAAGACTGGGAGTGACATTTAATGGTGAATGGTTACACTAGAGAGAACCCCCACAAGTACACTATTCCAATACCGTATTTAAAATGAACAGCTTATTGTAATTAAAGCCTCTAATGGTGTCTGACCTTTGGAAGGTCACAACATTTATCAAACTTGCAAATAGTTTTTCAGCCATTTTTACTCTAAGCTATCGCACCGTTTTAACAGTTTTCCAGGTGGCTGCTCTGTGTCTCAAAGATCACTGGTAGTACCATATTTTTTACAAGGTGTGACCTCCCTTCCCTCTTACATAGTTCATCACCATTTATCAGACTCTGCAAAATGCACTCTTCCTCCAAATATAGTCGTGCTCTTACATCCAGTCAGACCAGAATTACTCTAGACCCTATCCTTCCCTCTGCTCGTGTTATTGTGTATTGGAATGTTTTTGAGATCTTAAAAGTTTAACTTTCAATTTTAGAAAATATAGCTTTGATATAGCCATAAATGACATGGCATATTTGAAAGGTCACATTTTTTATGGTTGGAAGAAAAATCGGAAATATTTGTGAGTCATCTTAGTTGTCTAAGTGAATTCAATGCCAGTGTCTCTCTCCATGGTTAGATGCTTAACTAACCCAGAGTATCACTTACCTCTGCGTATCTGATTTTAACTCTTGTGATGTGAGAGAGTATTAATAATGCGGTCCCTTGAAGTAGTGTGTACTTGTGGGCTGTTTGTTGCTTCCATCCTCTTTTCTCTTCGTGCCTCTGGCAGTAGTGGCATCATTCCAGACCACAGCCACCCTTCCTATCATCTTGTCATCATTTCAGAATTGAGCTCTTGATTTCCACATCAAGCCACAGGAGGCAGCTGCTCCTGATTTTTCTCTCCAGCTCTGTCATTTATTAACAGACTGACTTTGGGTTAGTTATTCGCCATTTTGTAATTTAGTTTTGCTCACCTGTGAATTTGGGGAAAAGAACTTGTATTGCTGTTGACCTTTAAAAAATAACGCAGCATGGTCCAGGAAAATAACTGCTGTGCAGTGGATGACAGCTATTATTAACGTTTAGTTAGTGATGTAGGTGTTTTCTACATGATGTAACTTTACTTGTGGAAAGCCCTGGTTGTAGTTTATTTGCTGTCTCCTTTTTGTTGCTTTGCGGTGCAACTCTGTGTCTCTCCAAAGCTGGAGCTAGCAAGGGCTGCAAATGAAGTGGGGGGATTCAGAGTAAAACAAACTTAGGAGCCAGCCCTCATTAGCCATCCAGGTAATGTCAGATTGGTTGAGCTGATTAGACTGTGAAAGCTATAATTGAAAGAGGAATTTCTGTAGAATAAAGAATGTAAAAGGGATACATTAGGAAACTCAAAGTCAAATACATGAAGTAGACAGTTAAAATTGAAAGAACAAACCTGTATATAGTAAAGAGAAGATGTTGAAGTTAGAATTTTTGTCAGTGTGTATTTTACCTTAGGTGCTGCTATTCATGATTTAATGTCAGTAACAGTAAAATTTTCAATCCTACGTTTGCACATTTGTTGTCCATTGTTTCCCTTTAGTAAGAGGTCACTTTGTAACTGTTTTCAAGTATGTGAAGGATGCTGAGCAATCATTTGCTTTCTCAGTAAGAATTCGAGATAAACTTGGTAAGTTAAAAAGAAGTACTTCTTGCAGAAGAGTACGAAATGCACAGACTCATTGGTACACATATTGTTGACTGTTTGGCCATGTTCTTAGGAGATAGACTATGTGACTTCACTGAACATTTGTTGATTTACAATCTCAGCCACAAAATTTGTGCTTTATCTTATACTCTTTTTACCTTGTGGTTCTTTTATACATGTTAATCTCATTGTGGCATCTCTAGCTTCCTCTATGTTCCAAATTATAAGGTAGTAAAGAGCACAAAAGAAATTCTTACACCCTGTAAAAGAGACTTTCTTAGACTCGATCAATTAGCAAGCTATAGAGGCTGAGTTTTCCCTTCAAAGTTTATGAGTATACTTGGAATCACTATTTACCTCAAGTAATTGTAAATTCCGTTTTAAAACACAAGCACTTTGCTTAGGAAATGTGCACAATTGTTGATGGAAAAATTCTCCAAAGAAAATTTTGTACCACAATGATAGTTTAGTAAATTGATTAAGTATTATTTCCTATCACTAAATGTGTGTGTGTGTGTGTGTGTGTTTTATGTGGGAGCTGTTAATAGAGTTTAAAAGCTAAGTATATAGAGACTAGTAGGCACATTTATAATGGAATGTGTAAGTGAGTGATAACTAGTTAATATATGCCAGCCCACTGGGGTAAAAATAGTGGAGAAGAGGAGCCAAGTGATAATGTAGTTGACCCTTTCCTCAATCACAAATACTAAATTGGGAGTGGTACAGAATTTTAAGTGCCTTTTTCTTGGGCCTTACTGTTGTGATCTTTCTTTAGAACAGTTCTGATATACCCTTTGGAAGACTGGCCTCTGTGGACGTTGTCTGTGCCAAATTACAGCACAGAACAAGGGACGCTTCTGTTTCAGTTACTGAGAATAGTGCTTAATAAGTACTATTTGACAACACGCTGAATTAAGAGAATGTCATAAGGATGTTTCACAAAGGAAAATGGGTAAAACATCTGATGTTTATAAGTTCTATTTATGTAGAAGTTGATAGCAATAGAAAACCATACTTAAAGCTTTATTTTTAAATTTTATTCAATGCATGAATATGTTTGCTGAGAGAAAATGATTTCATCAGGTTCCAAATATATACAATATCTCAAATATAGTTAATACTATTTTTAGAGTCATTTTTTTTTCCTTGTTGGTTAAATGTATGAGACCCTGGTAAGTTGATTTATGTTAAACCTTATGCAGTACTGATTTGTTGCCTAGGACACATAATATGATTATTTCCTTTTTCTTACTTTTGCCTTTTATCCTAATGTCTTAGTTTCTAGCCATAAGTAGCTATGGTTTCTTCTTTATAGTGGAAATTATGCTGTGATCTTATGCTTATATATCTTTATACAGATTGAAGCAAGAAAGGCCAGTGAGATTTAACGTCTACAGTTTTGTAATAATCCAATTTATATTTCCAGCGTCACAAGTTGAGCATTTAGCTTGAGTTTAGTTCATCATAAATTTTAGCCTATGAAAATAGTTTTGTGGAGGGCTGGGGATTTAGCTCAGTGATTCCAGCACCTGCCTCTGAAGAGCAAGAGCCCAAGTTCAATCCCCAGTAACAAAAAAAAAAAGAAAGAAAGAAAATAGTTCTGTGGGACCCTGAACCCTAGTCTTCTTTTTTAATAGACTCTATAATCTATAGTCAGATATGTACAACATAAGAAATAACATGTGTCAAATGATAAAATACTGTAACTTGGGCTTTTTTCTTTTTTCTTTTATTTATTTATTTTTTTTTTTTTAGTTAGGCTTCTTCCATGATTATGCTTTGGAGAAAAGATAATAGATGATCTCTAGTGCTCATTGCAATTAAAGATTTTATGCTTCCTTGATATTAAGCTTGGGTGAGATGTGTAGTCTCTCTGAATCCAGGTGTGTATGTGGCATCTGTTACACATGGTAATGTGCTTGTGACCTTATTTTAAAGAAGTTTTTATATTTTGTTACTGGTAATAGAGCCTAACAATAATTCAGGTAACCAAACCTGAATCATTGCATATTCAAATACCTACTTTTGTTTCTTTTCCCTACCTTGGCTCTGGTTCTCTTAAGCAGAACAAATGCCAGCATTGCAAGAAGAGGAGTTGTCAAGATAAACAGAACAATCAGCTAGTGATTAGTGTTAGTGGTACAAAAAAAAAGCACAGTGTAATCTAATACCTACCTCACATTTTATCAAGAACTGGCACTTGAGGTAGTATTTATGGTTTGTAGAAGGTACTCACCATCGTTCTCATTCCTTTCTCAGGAGGATTTATGAAAAGAGGTCCTGTTCTCACACTTGAGAACTCAAAACTGCCTCCAAGACCAGGTGGCAGGCTGGCATTCACTAGCACTCAGATGTCAAACCAACTGATACACTGGTGCTTCCCATGATTTTCCTGGGCTGCATTAGCTTTAATACATATTGAAATGGAAATTCAGGTGAACAGTGTATGTGCTTGTGTGGAAGCTCATTTAGCTTGTAGAATAAATGGTTTAGTTTTTCTTCTGAGGTGGCACAAAGTTTGGGAATAAGAAGGAAGCTAGGTCCTAATCTTGGCTGTTGGCATGAACTGATTGAGAACTTTGTGTACATTTCCTCAACCGTCAAATGAGAGTGATTGGTATTTAGGTTTTCAGGCATTCTGAAATTCTGTGGTTCCAAATTCAGTTGTTGCTGATCTAATCAAAATTATTGCCTTAAAGAACTTTCTGTCTCATGTAATTAGCCAAAATTTTCATAGAAGCTTTTGAATTTTGAATTAAGGTAATAACAAAATCCCTTTGTACTGGCTCTAAGAAAACCTTTCTCCCACTGCACACTGTTGTGTAAGAAATAGTGTTACATGCTGAAGCTCTCTTTCTAAATTTGAAGAATGGAAAATGACAGCATAATGCCAGTTACACAGGAGTTCATTCAGCAAACATACACTGAGCATCAGTATTATGTAATTGGGCTGCCAAGACCCTGAGCTGCCAGCTTAGTGTAGAAGGCAGACCTACACGTGAAATGTCACTCCAGGTACAGGACGCTGGGAAAGATGTACGCAGAGTGCCAAGAGAGGAAAGATGCAAATAGCTTTACCTTGAAATGGAAGATGGAAGGGCATAACCAGCAAAGACTTGCTGAGAATGGGATCTAGCAGCCAGAAAAAGAACAGTGCATCATTTTAGGCCAGCAGGAAGTGTGTAACGGGGAGCAGATGCCTCTTCGGAGTTTGCTGTTTGTGTTGCATGCTGGAGGAAGATGCTGTGGTAGAAAGGTTAACTTGTGTCTATCTTGAGAGTACCCTGGGAGTCAGGGTGGCCAGGGTGAAAGTAAGAAAGTATGGATCTCTTGCAGAGATGACAGGAGAATCTGGAATTTCTGACTTGAGTAGCTGGGCCTGGGAGGCTTTCTGGACAACAGGATGAGTGTGAGAAAACCCTTGGGAATTGAGCTGGCCCAGAGGGCTGTGCCCGTCTTCTGTGGGCTCTCCTCTGGCCCTGATTTCCCTTGTACTAAATTAGCAGCTGTGGCTGGGACATAGAGAGTTTCATATCGTACCCCAGGGAGTTAGGACTTTTTTCTCTAAGCAGCGAAGAGTCCCTGAAAGGTTCTAAGCAGGATAATAATGTGAGCAGATTTGCATTTGGAATATTACAACAGCAGCAAAGTGTAAGCTAGTTTAGAAGGGTGCCAGTGCCTGCTCTAAGCCCAAAGGAGAGAAGAACACGGTTGATCTGTGCTGAGTTAGAATAATGATAAGTCATATTTCCTGTGTGCTTGCTGTGTCCCAGGTGCTTTTACATTTACAAACTCATTTAATCCTCACAACAGCACTAGGAAGTAGACACTCTTACTATTAGCATCTGCATCCCATGAGAGAACTGAGGCACAGTGACATTAAGTGATTAATAAAGTAGCTGGGATTTAAATACAACTACTCTAAGTATAAACTAATAGGTTGGTAAAGCTTAATAGCTTCTGTGGCCCTCTAGTAATATTCCCTTTCTGTATCTCCCCAGAAGTATTTATATTTCCCTTAAGTAGGTAGACGGAGCATAAATACCGGAGAGGGAACTACAGCCTCTGCCTAAGTGGGAAGAGTCTGAGGAACCCTAAGGTTGTGGTATTGTCTGCTATGAATACAACTCCACACCAGAGATTGTTCATTTTATGAAATCAGTGCATAGTTCTCTTGCATCCATCTTTGGACTCTGGTCTTTAAAAAATTAAATGGAGCCACGCATGGTGGCACACGCCTGTAATCCCAGCACTCGGTAGGCTGAGGCAGGAGAATTGCTGTGAGTTCAAGACCAGCCTGGGTTACATAGTGAGTTCCAGGTCAGTCTCAGCTACATAGTGAGACCCTGTCTCAAACAACCAATGAATAAATAAATAAACAAATGGAAATGCTCATTACAGACCCAAAAGGCGTGTAGTTTCCTGTTCATATGGATGAGTGCCACAGGGAGAAAGAAAGCTGAGCCTCCAGGCCCAGGCCGGGAAATTTAACCCAGCCGGAGAGGCATTTCAGGGTCTGAGATGTAGAATGAAAGCGTAGTTATGCCCAGCAGTGGGTTGGTAAGCTGTAGCCCAGGAGTTTCAGTGGTGGCGAACCTATGGCACGGGTGCTGCTGCTGGCTGTTTGTTGGCATCGAAACCTCTAAAAGATAGTATCGGTCTTCCCCAAGGTTAGTGGACCTGACCTATGATTTTAAGCATTCTCTGAGCCCTGTAGAGTTCTTTGTTGGGGGGTGAGGAGGCTCCCCTCTTTTCCCTCCTAGTCCAGGGTTGAAAATTACAGTCAAAAGAGCGCAGCAAAGCAGTCTTGGGACCTACTATGACCACAGTATGCACAGTCACAACTCAGAACTATTTAAAGCAATGATAATTATGCACAGTTTACTTTTTTTTTTTTTGGTACCAGGGATTGAACTCAGGTCTTTGCACTTGCAGGGCAGGCCACCGAACCGCTGAGCTAAATCTCCGGCCCCACAGTTTAC